GATTTCATTTCAAGTGACTGACCTGTCAAGACTACGGATCAACTGGAACCATACAGAGACATGAACACTTGTTTTCCAAGAAAGCGAGACTTGGAATTGAACACACAGGAGGTCTGGTTTTAGCACAGCATTTGTTTTACACTTTTGGAACTCTGTTTGCAATGAACAACAGTAGCTATGATAAACACTGTTTCCAGCTCTTAGGTTTGGAAGACCCATGGAATTGGAAAGAATGCATGGCAAATATCTCCCTTTTAAAGCTCTCAGTGTCTCAGCTTCCACTTGGTCAAACTCCACAAGTCTTCAGGCGCAAACTCTATAGATAACGCAACAGCAGCCTGAAATGCTTTGAGAGCTATCACTTGGTACTACCATCACTTAAGAGCAGAATCTCCACCACGCATACTGGTCTCACCTTCAGAAATTTGGAATTTTGGTCCTCCAACAGTAGGATCTCTTCCTCCATCTTCTTGATCTTAGCTTCAGCTGTCACTTTTTCAAGCTGCAACTTCTGTCGAGCTCCCTCCTCCTCATCAAGCTGTTCCTCTAGGTCCTGGGAAGAAAGGCAATTGCATTGTACATTTTCCAGGTCACCCATGTGTTAGGTTTCTTTTTTTTTTTTTTAACTTGGTAAAAAAAACCCAAAACAAACCACTATTTTGAAAAGCCACCTGCCCCATCTAACACTAAAAATGCATTCACTTTGTTAGATTCATTTATAGCATCAATGATCTGGTAATGAAATTAAGGGCCATGTGATATGCATGGGATATTTTATACTCCGTACTTCAGCTTCAGCTGAAATCTGCTGCCTAGGAAACACGCGCTCACTTCAGACTCTTTCACCTTCCTAATTCTGCACTTTAAAAAAAAATCTACTTAGTGACAACCCAATCAAATCAGGCTTTATATCAAAGACTTCCTAGTATAACACAAATTCTCACCTACACATTAATGGACACTTATTAAAAGGCATCAAGAGCTGTGAGATGCAGGATTTATTTCCCCTTCAAGTACCTTGAGTATTTTGAAAGACAGGTAAGTTCTCAGGTATTACCTTTCTCAAGGTCTCTGTGTATTCAAAAGGAAGCATCTATATCATTTGATTTTCACAAAAAAAAAACCAACCCCAAGTAACTTGGAGGAGATGAAGTTGTCTTAGTTTCATAACAGTCAAAGAAGGAATATTCTTCATGATATTCACTGGATTTAAGTCAAAAAGGAGCATTTCCCTCGTAACTGACATCACCCCACCAGCCTTTTTTCCTGTAAGCAAGCAGGTAAGCCCCATGCAGTCATTCCCAGTTCCTCCCCTCTCAGAAGTGCTTGCTACCTTTAATACTCTATCTGCACATCCTATAGCTACCAACAGGACATTCTGACTTTTTTTTTTTCTTTCTTTCTTTCCTCACCCTCATATGCCTGGAGACCACAAGAAGCTAAACACACTGAACCCCAGAAGAGAAGAGAGAAAAAAAATTCAAATTGATTTTATTCTACACATGGTGCTAAGGAGCTAAATTCCTCTGTGCCCCAGGGATGCTGAGGGAGCTTTCCCATCCTTCACTGTCCTGTTTGCACGCTTTTCCATTGCCAGTTACCAAGAGGCATACCTGAATATGGCCCTGCATTTTCTTTTTCTCATTCTGCAATATTTGGTTTCTTTCCTCTTCCTCCTCAACCCTGGACTCCAAATCATGGAGAATTTCTTCCAACTCTTGTTTTTTGGCAGCCAAGCGAGCCCTCATCTCCTCAGCTTCTGCAAAGAGCTCCGTCTCAGCCTGTAGCTGCTCTGCAAGAATGTTCTTCTCTTCTAGAAGCTGCAATTATGCACAAAAGGTAGTAAAGCAGTAAAAACGACATTTCAAAGTCTCTCATGAGAGATTATACGTATGACAAAGTTACTTCAAGGCCAAGTTAACTCCCTGGTCAATATCCTAACCCAAAGACTTTCAGCAGAGGACTTTATCAGTAGTCCAGAAGACACCAGCTTTCACAGTGTGGCTACAGCAATATTCACTCACTTGTCCTCCCAGTTTAAGGACAGATCCCACTGTGCCTACCCCATGTGCTGTGTTCCACCAGCAGCAAAAAGGCGAGGGAAGTGCCTGTTCCCTGGACTGCTTCTCGCGCTCACCCCTGCACAGTGGCAGAGCAATGCCATGGGTAGCTGGGCTGAAGCTGGCACTTGGAGTCACCAGAACAGAACTGGAACACCCCACTTCTTGCTGTCTAAACTTGACAATAGAATAGTCCCAACTGGGAGCGACCTACCACAATAATCTATTCCAACTGCTTGACCACTTCAGGGCTGACCAAAAGTTAAAGCCTGTTGCTGACGGCATTGTCCAAATGCTTTTTAAACACTGACAGGCACAGGGCAATCACCACCTCTAGGAAGCCTGTTCCAGTGTTTGACCACCCTCTTGGTAAAGAGATGTTTCCTGATATTTAGCCTGAACCTCCCCTGAGGCAGCTCTGAACCATTCCCACATGTCCTGTCGTGGGACACAAGGAAGAAGAGATCAGCACATCCCTCTCCACATCCCCTCCTCAGGAAGCTGAGAGAGCAATGAGGTTTCCCCTCAGTCTCCTTTCTCCAAACTAAGATTAACTCAGTGTCCTCAGACACTCCCCATAGGTCACGCCTTCCAGCCTTTTCATCAACTGGAATTGACACTTTGCCATTCTAGATATCCATCCCAGCTCTATCATGTCTCAAAATTACCACAGCAATAAATACATGTCTAGCTTTACTGACACTTCCACCTATTTGTTAAATTAATATCAGTGTTACTTATCAGCATAAATTCATTTTCAGTTTTGTCCAATAATAGTCATAATTGCTTCCACATGTCTTATGCAGCACATGCACACCACAGAAGTATCCTACTCTGAAAACACACGTGAAAAGGAAAGTGACACTGCTACTGAAATTCTCCTGTAGACTTGGACAGGCCAAAAAAAAAAGTTTCGTTTCATTAACATGATTTTTCTGCATTCCTGCAGGAGTAGTTCATACTAAACCTTCCTATTCCAGATTTTAGCAGTGTGTGAAAGGAGTCAGCTCTCCTGACTCACACTGCTTTTGCTCACAAGAGCTTCCCTAACACGGCTCCCTCACAGGTATAGTGCAATATACATTCTACATAACAAAAGTTGATCTTGGGCACAAACCTGTTGATGTTTCCTTTCCATTTCCTCAAGTTCTGCCTCCACTTTTGTCTGTTTTTCCTTCACCTTCATTAGCTCCTCATCCTTGGCTTGAAGTTCTTCTTCTTGACGAGTGACCTGAAGAAGAGGCTTCACCTGCAAAGATTTGAAGTGACCAAGTAAGAACCTGCACCTACTTATTTACAAAACACAAAAAAAGTGACAGAATAAAATAAACCTTTGTGAAGACTCTCCACCACTGCCAGTGCCTAAGCTTTAAATATGCAGCGCAATTCCTCTGCAGGATTTTCAGTGCACTCAGCTGCTGTTGTTTCTTTGCAAAGGCCCTGAAGACAGAAAGAGCACAACATTTCATGTTAAATACAGCTGAGCACCTGTCTGTGTTTTTAATTTTTAGGTTACCCAACCCTAGAACACTTGCAGACCACAAACAGGCTTATTTTTAAGCTTCAGTGACCGCACTGATTTACAAGTACTCAATCCTTATATGAAGGGGAAGAACAAGAGCTGGATTCACCATTTTCAAAATAATAATTACAAATGCTATTTGTTCTTACTCTTAACAGATGTTTTTCTTAAACAGATAAAATCAGGATGGATGAGATGCTGAACTGTCCTTTAATTTCAAAAAAGCAGCTTTCCAGAGTATCTCTAAGAGCCTCCAGCCAAGCAGAGATGTTTGTTTTTTTTTGCAGCCATCACTGTGCTGTAAACAGCTGCATGTGTCAAAGGGAAAATTAAATAAAGGAGATACTGCTATGCAACCAAGGTACAAATTCTTCCCATTAGGTGAATATTCACCTATTTACCCCAGATACAACTACAGTTTTTCAGACAACACACTTTCTTAAGAAAAATCTCCCAAAATGAAAGTTTTAATGCATAGCTCCTATCATGAAATTTAAGATGACCATGAGAAAAATCAAACTATAAGAGCACACATACTTCCTAGCCAGGTATCCTCTACAGACTGCCTGGAAGAAGATGATAATGTCTGTGATCTTCAGATCTCGTTCTTCTTCTAAGTGTGCCAGGACACCAGCTCGGAAAAAGATCTTGCTCTGTCCAATTCTGTATAAGTTAGGATCCAGCTCCAATGCTCTGATCTAAATGGACAGGCAAGCACATTGTTTTTATGCCAACGAAAGGACAATTTTTGTTTCAACTTATCAGTGTTTTAACAATATATAGAGGTATAAACACTTACCATACGCTCACAGGCTTGCTTACCATCCATAAAACCTTTCGGAATTGCATTGGGAGTAAGGATCTCGTACCTTTAAGTCAAATGAAAAACACGCCTTTACATTCAACAGTAAGCTACACTCTTCTACACTCATAAAGCTATAGTCTCCAAGTGCACAGCTAAGGAATCCCTCCAGAAAGTTTTTCCAGAAGTGTCTTTAGAATGAATCACAGAATCACAGAATAGTAGGGGTTGGAAGGGACCTCTGTGGGTCATCTAGTCCAACCCTCCTGTCGAAGCAGGGTCACCTACAGTAGGTTGTAGAGGACCTTGTCCAGGCGGGTCTTGAATATCTCCAGAGAAGGAGACTCCACAACCTCCCTGGGCAGCCTGGGCCAATGCAATTCAACTGCTTCACATTCAAGCCACTTTATGACCTCACAAATGGTTTTGGACTTTCTTCCAGTTGGATGGGGGAAGCATCTACAATTATTTAACAAGGATTTTCATCTCATTAAAAAAGAAAAACAGTAAAAAAGTGTTCCTGCTGTTACCTCTGTCTAAATTCCTGGAACACTATCCTGTTTGGAAATCCTTGCCGACAAATCCTTATTCCTTCCAAAACGCCATTACAACGAAGCTGATCTAGAACCAGATGTGGATCCAATTTTCCAGCCTGGACAAAAAAACCAAGCATGATTTTTAGTATTTTAATTTGTACACATGAAAGACTGTAGTTTAAGTTTTTTGGGCTACCCTCTACAAAGTCAACTGTCTCAGTAAGCGGACAAGTGGGAAATACTAAGAAGATACTTGACCAGTGCAAAAAACTGTGAAGCCTGGCTTCTGATTTCAACAGGAAGACAGTCAGCACGTGTACCTCAAAATGCAAGTAAAGACTCTACTAAAGAAAAAGAATTAGGGGAGTGGTCTGTAGTACGTACCCTCTTTTCATGATTTGGAATGATGCAGCGAACAAAATTGGGATTAGTGTTTCGGAGCGTCGCCATCAGCTTGGTGAGAGATTCTTTGTACAGTTGGCCAACAGTACGAAACATGCCCTTCTTGGTCTTGTACGCAGAGCCAAAAGCTGTCTCTGTTATTCCAGTGACCTGATCCAGACCCACAATGCGATCCACTGGGAAGGACAAGAGAAAATAATTAAGTGGACTTCAATATTTGTCAGGTATAAAGACAGGCAGAAAGAGGAGCAACAGTGCAGCAGCAGAAGCTTTGTGGAACAAATGACAGAAGATGCCATCAGTAGGCAAGGCAGTCAGCATGTACTGGGGACGCTGTGCAGAAGCAGTGGAACCAAAAGCCACAAACTTATACAGCAGGAGAGTGTAGCTTTAGTAGGTACAGACTAAAATATCCAGCTCTTTACTTGCAGTTCTACATGACCAGTAAAGCCATTTTCTTTAAGTCAGCTTTTAAGAGATAGAAAGTTGCCTGGAAACTGGCAATTATTTGAATTCTTACAACGCAAAATATTTCTGGGTTGAATATTTGTAATTAGACATCTGTGCATATTTGCTTAAAATGAAGAGTCACTTAAGGTAATTATATAGATTAAATCTGAGTTTCACTGAATATTCAAAAGTGTTTTGAAAGCATAACTATTTACAGAAGAGTTGGAAATAATGTTATTTCAGTGACAAGAGGGGGGGAAAAAAAAAAAGTATCTGCCAGACTTCTGCTAGTCTGCTCTTTTGAAGAATTCCTCCAAGTTTTATACACAGCTGCAAAGACATCCCTAGCCAAAGACAAGTTTCAAAACAGGAAAACTGCACACCAAAGCACTTCAAAGCTGCCATAAAGCATCAGAATAGAGATTTTTCTTTGATTTTTTGAACATTTTGGCTAAGGATCTCTATGGTTTCTTCTTCAGAAGCACAAATTAGAAATCTGACTGCCATCATTAAAACTTTTAGGCCAAAAACAGGAAACATGACTCCATGTGCATGTCAGCAATTATTTAAACAGCTTGCTAAAAAAATATTCAGAGGGCTTAACACCTTAATAATTATACTTAGCACTTCTTAGTACTGAACAAATACACAACATACATTGGTTGTCCATGAAATCCAACCTGGACAGCCAGAAACAAGCAACTATATCTTCAAACCAAAGCAGAGGGAATTATGCTTTGCTACCAGAATTAGTTCTGTATACAATAAATAAGCGACAGCATTTTATTTAATGCTTGTACTCAACTGGTTTTCAAAAGGTCTATAAAAAAAAGGAAAAATAAAAGCAGAAAAAATACAGGGCAACAAGTTTGAATAATCACTTGTAAGTCTTTCATGCAGTATAGAGCAGAGCCCAGATCCTCCACACAGTTTTGAACACAAGAATCTAAGCAGCTTATTAAAGTTAAAAGAATAAGTAGGTGGTAAGTTGTTCATAAGATCATATCCCAAATATTTACTTTGAAGCAGAATTCAATTCTAAACCAGAAATGGGATAGAGATTACTGGGACTCGGTCCTACAGAGGATGAACACAGCAGCTTATAAGTGTTAGAAACATGCACCCACCAGATACCACCGATGACTGGACACCATTCAGCTTTTGTTTGGCCATGTACTTTTTAAAATTTTGTAAATATATCTGTTAATTGTGCATCTTTTGTTTTGCTCCCCTCTGTCCTCCAGCTATAATACAATTATATTTCAATGAGGATTATTAAAGTTAACCTGTAGGGAAGGCTTCCATTTAAGAGCAGTCACTGAACAGCATGATTGGACAATCATCCATTGGCTAAAGCCTCTGAACTCAAGCCCTCTAGTAATTACTAGAGGAAACACCACTAGCTTCCTCGAGCACGTAATGTAGCAAACTAAATGATAAACCCAAATAAAGATCAAAAATCTGAAGGCACAACCTTCACATACACATATTTCTAAACTTGAGGACAGGAATGTAAGAAGAATCAGGAAGAGGTTGCATAAAATATTCAAAGCGTCTTCAAACAGACATTCCAAATAAGTGGATTTGTTGACTTCTCAATACCTCAAAAAATGCGTGCAGCTTCTACAAATGGAAATATTAAAATTAAGTTTTGGTTTTTTTTTTAAAAAAAAAAAGAACAGTTCCAACAAGTCTGGAAGAAGTTTATTTCACTTACTACCCCCACTACAACTGCAGCACTCATTCTGATACTTCAACACATTCTTCAGCTCTCCTCCCCCCCAAAAATACATCCGCGTTCTAAAATGTTCCAGAGTTTCGTCAATGTTGGACTGCAGAAAGAAGCTTGATAGTGTTACAAAGCTTATGCATTCTCTCAAATGCTTGGAGCTACCAGAATTCTCGCTTAGGAAGCAATTCTGCATCTCAACATGGAACTAGGAAGCAACAAACCTTTTTATCTGCAATGCTTAAATGCAATGCATAAAATACATAGATGCTATATGTATGCAGCAGCAACTGAATAGGTATGCACTCGGAGACCATTTGCCTTGTGGAGGTATACCTAAGTTTAGCATGAAATGAAGAGTTCATGCAAGCCTACGAGCAAAAATGGTTTTCCTGTAGATACAACAGCCCTGCCTTTAGTAGGCCTACTGTTTTTACATCCATTCACCTGGTGGATCATGAAGACCAGTAATATTGTCATAGAAACAGGCTCTCTGAATATTCTGAATCTCTAAGGCAGAGAAACAGCAAAAACAGAAAGACAGAAGAGCAGATACACAAGACACTTCAGTTAGTATACAGAACAGGTTTATCAATTGCAAACAGACTTAACTGTGCTACAAAAGCAATCAGGCCACAACATATTTCATGCACATTTCAATTATCTGTGTAAGCAGGTTTTGCATATTTGGACCAAAACATTTTTGCTTCGTGAGTGTACTCAAAAGGAAAGGAGCAGATCCCCAACCAAAAAGTTCTTTATATATTCATTAAAACTGCTCTCTGTAGCTGAGCCAAATAAGTATTCCTGAGAATAAGAGGGAAACTCAGTATTAATCTACAGCATCATCTATATCACAAGATTAATCTCCTCCTGGAATAAGAAACTACAAGATTTATATACCGTGGCATGTAAATATATTCTAATTAATATATTGTGATGTTAAAAACCATAATGAAAAAGTCCTTATAAGTATTTATTTTGGCTGTTTCTGCTTCTTGGGGTATTCTGGTAAAAATGTTGATAAATACTTTAAGATGATGTGCAGGAAGACTAGCTAAACAGCAGTGTACAATTAAAACAGCAAAATATTGCATTTGATTTTAATATGCAATATGTAAGCATGATTACGGCTGTTACTGAATTTTATTTTAGGAAATGCGGATTTCCAGGACACGACCCAGCACTGCACAACAAACAACTGTGCTGGTGCTCACAGAAGACAACATTTTATTAAACAGCAAGTACCACTACAGCTGTTTACATCCAGGACTTAACTGCAGAAATTCAAACTAAGAGTTTTGGACAAGATTCTACAAATGAAACTGGACACAGGGTAACAAGTAGTAAGTGAATATCAGTTCAAACAACGAACATGAGAAGCAGCTACTCAGAAATGGTACATGTGCAAGGGACCATAGGTGAAACCCAGCTTCCTTGTTGTACTTTTGGTGCTACACAATAGAGAAAAGGCTGTAGATATTTACAATGTAGAGGTGGAGGGTGAGGAGAGAACAGGCACAAAGAAAAAACCCCTCCTCAACCAAGGTAAAAAAAATTTGCTAACAGCTTGTGTACTTCGAGCATGATCTCTTACCATCCTTCCAAAGCTCTGCAACAAATTTGTCAGAAGACTGGTGCAAAAGTGTAGCCACGTTGTCATTCAGGGGGTCCATATTCTTCATCAGCCACTCATCCGCCTTGTAATCTACCTGTAGAGTAGCCAAGTTGCACACAATCAGACTAGATAGACTACCAGCTTCAGCTTTAATCTACCAGCATGGAAAAAAAAAAGCTTTCAAAATACTATACTGATGTTCTCCTCCTGTTCTCTTCTTGACGTTTACTTGCTATGAGTATGTTGTGCCTCCTTAGAACAAAGTACCACAAAAAGTTGTTATGCTTTCGAAAGAGTAAATGGGAGGTTTCTTAAAAATTTAGCAGTCTGACTTTTTCATAGAATGGTATGGGTTGGAAGGGACCTTTAAAGGCCATCTAGTCCAACCCCCCCTGCAGTGAGCAGGGACATCTTCGACTGGATCAGGTTGCTCAGAGCCCCGTCCAACCTGACCTTGAATGTTTCCAGGTATGGGGCATCCACCACCTCTCTGGGCAACCTGTGCCAGTGTTGCATCACCCTCACTGTAGAAAATGTCTTCCTTATATCCAGTCTAAATCTCCCCTCTTAGTTTAAAAATGTTACCCATTGTCCTATTGCAACAGGCCCTGCTAAAAAGCCTGTCCCCATCGTTCCTATAAGCCCCTTTTAAGTACTGAAAGGCCACAACAAGGTCTCCCCACAGCCTTCTCCTCCCCAGGCTGAACAGCCCCAGCTCTCCCAGCCTTTCCTCCCAGCAGAGGGGTTCCAGCCCTCGGATCATTGCTGGGGCCTACTCTGGTCCTGCTCCACCAGCTCCAGGTCTGTCCTGTGCCGAGGGCTCTAGAGCTGGATGCAGGGCTGCAGGGGGGGTGTCACCAGAGCAGGGCAGAATCCCCTCCCTCGCCCTGTGCCCACGCTGCTGGGGATGCAGCCCAGGGGACAGCTGGCTTTCTGGGCTGCGAGTGTGCATTGCCGGCTTGTGTCCAGCTTTTCATCCACGAGTACCTGCAAAGCTGGTATACATTTTCAGCCTGGCATTATTGCCAAAATAAGGCTTCACTGTTCACTGTGAAGATGTAAAAACACCTCCAAGTATAGATCCCAATTACTTCATCTAAATTAGCAGGGTAAATTAAGAGTGTGCTGCAACATGATTTTTTTTTTTAATTGCACTACTGCAGTTATACTTAAACACTTTGTTCTATAAAGAAAACAAATAAAGCTCTTATCTTGAAAGAGCCAATTCTGTGGTTTGTAATTAAACTATACCTCAGCAGTTAAACTCAACACTACCAATATGGTTTCATCCCAACCCAAAAGGGAGCCCTAAAATTCTGTACATCCAAGACCACCTCTATACAGACTAGCAAGTTTTTGCTTCAAACAGACTGTGAATTTTCTATTTTTAAATAAGGGCTTTGGAAGAAAAGCCACACTTCAAAGCTTCCAGCATCCAAAACCAAACAGACTGTCGTTCTTAGTACTTCTTGTCGTAAAAGCTATTTTACAAACGATACTAGTTTTGAAAGAAATACACATTCTGATTGATTACCTAAAGGTAACCTTTTCTTTCACAACTAATCTACTATTAACTGCAGTAACAGTGACAACTTAATTGTTTCTAAGTTATTGTTTTAAACATCGAAACAACACAATGTATAATTTCTTTATTTCAATTTTTGCTACAATTATCTACTTGGCACAACTGACATTAAAGAATAGTTAACAAGCCATCAGTACTTTAAACAAAAATTAAAGGATGGCTGTTAATCATTCACATGGTTTCTTCTAAATATCAGGGTAAAAACTGGTACTAGGATTAAGTTTTAACTGTTTAAGAAACTAATTACATAGCATGGTCCTATGGAATCGACCTGATGATCATGAAGGTTCCACAAAATGCTGACAAGAACCACGCAGTTATTTCATGGACCTGTTCACATCGCCATTGAGCCCCATCCCTCAACAGAAGATTAAAGATTGCACTAACAGTAAAAACAAAGATATCAGCTTACCCATAAAAGGGGATATACATAAAAACTTAAATGAACTAAGGAAATAAAAGTGAAGAAGGCACTGACAGCCCTAGTTCGAGCACTACTATCAACTTGGAAACACAGATGTTCAGAAGAGATTCCTTTCTATACAAGTCCTGAAAGACTCACCTGTAAGACCTGACAACAAAATTAAACTGAAATATTTGCGTAATTTATTTGTATTTTTCAGTTCTGTCTATTTGGTAACAAGAGTTCTTTTAGAGCACTCCTGAATATGTTCAAGAAAATGAAACAAGGCCACCTTCCTGCACAAGTATTTCTAAATTTGCTAGCTATACCACTTAGTACTTTCCCAAAACCAACATTTCTAACCAATTATTTAACATTTACCCCTTACCTTCCCTGCATAGTGAATAATGCAGAAGTCAGCTTTGTCCTTTAGCTGTCTTGGTTTTTGGAACTTGGAGTGGGTTCCTTGCTCTTGGACCAGTTTTTCCACAAATGTCTTGTCAGTAGCTTTAGGGAACCAGCATTCTTCATCCAGTAATGCTAACACACCAGGAGGATTTGCCTGAAATCCAGTTTGATTTAATATATGTTAATATTTTACACATATATAGATCTATTTCAAATTTTAATATTTAAAACACACCATTGAATGTCACAATAAAAAGTTGTCTGAACGGATTCAAATTCTCTTTAAATTAAAACAAGCTGTGGAGGAGTCCAGTTCAATGAACAACACTGACTGGTCCAAACAAATTCATTCCAATGCACATTGGAGCCAGACATAAGTGACCTGATCTAGTGCTGACTAGAGCCTTGCTTTGAGCACAGACTGGAATAGATGACCTCCAGAGTTACCTTCCAAACATTTCTGTGACATGTATGCACGCAACAGCTCACCCTCATCTCCACAGTAGTTAATGTCATGCTTTAATGTGGGCGAAAATGAGAAATTCTCCCTGCCAGCCACCTGATGCTACTGTGGCAGCCACCAAGCCTCCCCTTGCCAAGCCCTGTGTTGATATCCAGCAGCAGCACCCAAAAAGACTCAGGAGGCTGAGCTTGAGCAGCCAGCGCAGCTTTATATACTCCCTCTTTCCATACAATTTAAGCGCTCCACTTGAAGGTTTGTTTATCCTTAAAGTGAACGAGGGAACAAGCAACGCCTGTACTTCGCAGCTGTAGAATTGTTTGACAGAATCATCTTCCTCAGGGAAGACAGACTGATGTACACAGGAAAGCAACAGAAAAAAGTTTATAATAATTTATACTACAAAAGTTTCCAGTGAATGTAAAGTTTACACATTTGACAAGAGATGTTTCTGTGTACCTACTACATCGTATCACAGTTACAGAACCATTATGAAGGCACTGACATTTGCTTTTCAAAAAAAAAAAGTTGATACATTTTAGGATATTCACCTAAACATCTGCATACTGAACGCATCCACACTTACCCCCTCCGGCTTTTTGGCAGAGAGTTTACATTCCAAGGAGGCACAACTTTCTGAAGTTCCACACACAAAGTGCAAACCTTTAACTAAGGTAAGATTTCCCTTTTCCTTCTCTAAAGATAAACAACAACGTGGCTCACAGGCTTTTCAGGATGCAATGCATCATTGGCAGCTTCTAGAATACACACAATTTTACCTTCTCGAATACACATACTGTGTACACACATGCGTACATATGTGTACTCTAGAATACACATACAGAAACGTAGGGAGTAGTAACTGCAATGCCCTAGGTTTAATTTAAAAGGTCATAAAATAATTTCGACTGCATAGCGCTGACATGTGAAGAATGGTAACTTTCAGGAATTATGATCTTTGTTCTCTCTCTTCTCCCCCCAACCCAGATGCTCCTCCTGCTCTTTGAAGCCCTCTTCAGCTTCCACATAATGAGCAACCAGAAGAATACGTTAAAAAGCACAGTGATGAAAACCACCTCTAAGACACTGCTTTCCTACTTGCAAGACACATTTATGGTGAAAACTCTACCCTAAATGAAGTTTCAGAAATTTTGCTATTGATCTCAAATGAAAAAACTTTATCAGAAGTCTTGAAAACCTTTCTAACTGAGCTCCAGTAATGCAATGGCATTGTTCAATATGAAAGTGACAGGACTAAAGACTTGTTCAGTACTAGGGAAAAAAGTATAAAAAGAGTAGCTTAATAACTTTAGCCCAGTGTTCTAACTTAACATCAGGGCAAAATCACATAAGGACAAATCCTTTTACTAATACATGGTATTTCAGACTTTGGATTTCAGCCTTCAAGTCAATTCACTTCTTGTGACAGCTCCACACGAATCTCTGTACACTCCAACAGTAAAAGACAAAGCTCTTCTCCTTAGAGCATTATTAATGCATAAACTTACAGGTCGTTCAATTAAGTCAATGCAAGGCTGCAGATCCAGTCCAAAGTCGATGAAATTCCACTCTATACCCTCTCGTTGATACTCCTCTTGCTCCAGGATAAACATTGTGTGGTTAAATAACTGTTGAAGCTTCTCATTGGTGTAGTTAATACAGAGTTGCTCAAAGGAGTTCAACTACAAAAATAACATTAGCAAGCAAGAATAATTCAGTGACAGGATTTATCATGTATCTGGAAGTAAAAAATTTGCCCTTACAAGGAAATTCCCCAAAACTCTGCAACATTCAGATACATTGTGAAGAATATTGGAAAACACATTATTCAAATCTCTTATGTTCTCTGCTACCCATAATGAAATAATGTACAGTAGGAAAACCCATCATGTATAAAAATCATTTAGACTAACGTATGACTTTTCAGCACTGTAATTTAGGGTTGTCAAAGCATTTGCATGCTACAAAACAAAACCCTCCTGCAGCCTTGGACCATGCATGCATTAAGTAGCTCTAAACTTAGTCCTGAATGCACGTTAACAGGGAAAAGAAAAATCTGATTAGCAGTGTTTTGAAGTACCTCGAAGATTTCAAATCCAGCAATATCCAGAATTCCAATAAAAGACGCTCCCTGTCGTTTGGTCCTGTCCAAAGCTTTATTAATGCGGTGAACAAGCCAGCGAAAGAGGCGTTCATAGGTGGCCTTTGCCAAAGCTTCCACTGCAAAGTCTGCCTGAAAATTCAAACAGGAAAATTTATTTACCCTGGAGAAGTCACCAAAAGCAACTTCCGATCAAAATCACTGAGGAATGAATACAAGCAGTAGAAACAGCATGCAGTTTGATTAATGTTATGAAAAATTTGTTTTTAAACTGTTCCATAAAAATACCGAAAGCTCTGTGTGTCTGATACATACAACTGTGGCATTAAAGGATAAAACCAGAATAAGTTCAAGAAGAGGGAAAGTTTTTTGTATTCTACCACTGACTTTTACCATAAGAATATTTAATAATGTAGGCTTAATCAAAGTCGACAGCAGTACACACTTTATTCCAATTTTCTTTATTAAGAGCTAATCAAGATGAGGTACAGTTTTATTTCGCCTATAAAGCACCAACACTTACTTGTTCTTTGGTCTGGGCTTTCTGCACGTAGTCTCTGCCCACCTTGATGCGCGGTGTCAGTATGGCCCGGGTGAACTCCATGACGTTCATTCCCAGTAGATGGCAGAGTTTCTGTGCGACTGGGGACCAAAACAATAAATGAGAGTGCTTCAGTCCTCTACAGCAGCTCAAAACACCAATGAAGCTACCCACAAAGGCCATCGTGGGCCAACTTAACAACTGAACTCCCAGTCGAAACATCAGCCGGGGAGACGTGCTTCTGTCCGGCGGACAGACCACCGCCACCACACAGCCCGCAGCTGCAGGGCTCCCGTCTCAAAGGCTGAGGGAAGTTTCCACAGAAGTCGACCACTGAATTTTCTTACGGGAGTGCAGAAAAGACCAGATATCATGAAACCGCAGGGAAGTCACATAACCATCCATAACCCACCTACAAGCGCTCACTGGGTTACTTCAATAGGGAACATTCATTTTCTCATCTCCATACAAAAAAGCACAGCATGAGGACATCAACTCTATCATACTAACTGTTGTTTAAGAACCGTTTCAGTTTAGGCAGCTATGCCATTGTAATGCTTCTATTACAGACTATATCAAAATACGTTGTTAAAACTTTATAAAACATGGGCTTGCAATATTTTCTATAGAATAACAATGCAAGCAGCAGCACGCTTTCTTTAGGCAGCATGAACTCTCCTGGTGTCATGTTCGTTATTTGAAATTACACATTACCCACACCATCATCACATATTCTTGCTGCATCAATCACTTTTACTAAATAAATTTTCCAGGAGGTGAGGCGTTTATGATTCCATACTTCTAAAAATGAAAGTGACACTAGGAAGCCCTCCCCACCCCCCCATCAGTACTGTAACCCTTTATCTTTATCTGACAGCTGTCAGTTTTACTGTCAAAATGAAAAAATCTATTTTCACAAATCAGCATTGGAAAACAGATTTTAATAGAAATATGTAAGAGCTTCCTCTGTATCTTTCTTCTTTTGTGCTAGTATTGAAAACACTACTATTTGCTCTTAATGTTGAGATTCTCTGTCTGGCCGTATATTCATTAGGAGGGTTCATGAATCAACACACAACTTCATCAGTGAAATTAGGGTAGCATCACAAATTGAGCACTCCTTTCATTTTAGCTACACACGGGAGCATTTCTGTGCTTGAGGTATAAAAATACGCATCGGCACCTCAGACAAAACTTACAACCCTAAGTGTCAAGTACCAAGTGCTGTCACAATCTTCAAACAAACAAAAAACAAACAAGAACTTGAAATTTTTAAGTAGCAGTAAGCATCAGCTTGGTACTGTGGCATAACGGACACTATATAAAGAGATTACAGTCTAGAGGAAGGAGGGGTTTTCGCCCCCCATGCAGTACTCCAAACACTACACTCTGCTCCTCTTTCATGAACATATGACATGGAATTTATTGGCCCTACATTTCCAGTTCCTAATAAACCATAGCTTAGGTAACAGTAACAATAGTAAACCATAGCAGAGGTAATACTAAAAATCACATCCAATTCAGAGAGTGAAGGCGGCGGCTGCCACCATTTCAGAGGTTTGACTGAAGGAAACAAAACCATTTTCAAGTCAAAGCTCTGACTTCTAAGCATAGGACTGGTTCACGCTATTACAGCTTGATTAGTCTCAGACTTAAAAAGTGTAATTCATCTTGTTTCTTTATAACTGAGGACGGTCCATTTAAAAGGTACAATTGTAGAAAGCCCCAACTATCCTGACTTGTGTTTTATTACTATTGGATTTTGGATAGAAATTTCTGAATTACTATAAAACAAAGATACTGAAAAGCTCATATCACAGTTGAAGCGCGAACTTTAATGAGGTTGCTAATGAACCTCTGCCCTTTCAGCAGAAAGCCTTCTTCCAAATCTGGTAAGCATGAAAGTCTTCTCTAAATACAGCTTCTCCCTCCCCTTCATCCATAAAGGCTATATGGCTTTCTTGTTATCTCTTGTATCTATACTTAAAATCCGTATTTTTTTATCTATATTTACTTTCTATAGGGTAGAATTTGCTTTCCGTACTCTTCGAATAGGTTCAAATCTCCACTACCCATGCAACTTCCTCCCCACCTACGGAGACACCAACCTGACCTGTTTCAGACACATCCCTTTAAATGAGGTGAATCACTATCAAGCTACAGTTACTTCTCTGGAAGACACTAGGGAAACCCATTACAGTGAGATGTGACAATACAGGTGACAAGAAGGGAGAGATCAGTTTCACTCAGTGTCTTCAGAAAGATATACTGAAAAAGGCCACAACTAAAATAAGCTTTTTTGAATACAAGAGAACAGAAACATGCTTTAACCATGATCTGAGCTTCTCAGCATCTTTGCTTTATAATTCAGAATTTTGTATCCAGCATTGTAAGTATCTAATAGTATCAATATATTTATAGCCAATATTTATAGCCAATATTATAATTCAGAAATTATGTCCAAAATACAATGGCAATACAACAAAAGTAAGACAGTCAGGAAGTAAGTATCATCGTTTTCTTTCTGCATCATACCTTCTAAATGGACAATGAGTCAGCGAAGTTGTCTAAGCTGGCACTAAAAGACAAAAAACCTAATCCATCACCCAACCTTTTTTCCTCACTGTGAAACTCAAAGTGCCAACTGCCTGCCAAATGTTGCGTCAATGACTACTGATCTTTGATCCATACCTGCCTGCTGGAGCACTTTGGGCAGCAGGCCACCACCCTGAGAAATGACAAAAATTGTGGACACTGCAGGCAGCCTACATGCACAGTGATTTATTACAATTACGAAACAAGACACAGCCAAGAATTTGAGTTGTGCCTGTGCAGCGGGTCCTGCGAACGATGGTTCTCACTGCTCTTTCCACTGATGTCAATTCTCAAAGCCAGCTTTCCATGAAAGCATTTAAAAGGCTGGTACTATGTAGCAAATTAGAAACCTGAGATTTGCTTCAGCAGCTCTCTTTTGTGAAGAAATACGCTCCTCGAAATGCTGATCACATTGAAGGTACTAACAGACAAACTGAAGTTAAATCTTAGTGACACTGCCATGCCACTTCAGAAATCAGACTTTCCTAAATACAGCATTCTTATGTTCAGCCATTTCACTATGGAAGCTGTGCTTGGCGCCAAGGCTCTTATCATTGGCAAGAAAACTGCTGTCAAGAACCAAAGAAAACAAACCGATTTAAGCATGCTCTTTTTCCTAGTGCTTAAATCTTGGTAGACAGCAATAAACAAGACTACAACTGAAATACTTGTTCGAAGTTTAGAAGCAATGCAAACAGCATAAATTCTGTTGATGGATACTTAAATTTATCTGCATTACAAGAACGGAAGAGGAGGGTTTCCATGATTGCCCTTTGGCTACTACCGCAACAGCCACGGCCTCTTTTTGGCACAGAACGCTATCAAGGAAGCTAAGAAGACTCCTCTGTACTTTTAAAGATATGCCACAAAACAACACCAGGAAGAAAGCTACAGCACAAGTTAAAGGCAGCCATACAAACGTGATCAACTTACCAGTGTTCTCTGGCATAGAAGCTTGATCAGTATTTCTCTCCTTCTTAAAGGAAATATTTCCGAATTGTAGCACTGAAGACACCACTTTCAGCATTGCTGTGTTAACAAAAGACATATGCAACAGTTTTATTGAAGAGAGCTCAGCTCAACAATTTTTTCTCCTGTTACTTGTGTCAGTTTCCTTCCAAACTCTAAGTAGGAGTTCAGAAAGGAAATAAAGTTTCTACTGCACTTTTTGGGCAAATGGCTTTATTTCAACTCTTATCTCATGTTAAGCAAACATTTGCTGCAGGCTGTCACGACATCAATACAACATTAAATTTGGCGACATTAAATTAGCAAGTGTGTGTGCGCAAGAGAAAAAAAAGTACACTTTACAAATTCAAAAGGCTCAGTAGCTTACACAAGATCTCGTCGTGCGAAAATCCCATAATATGCATGGCTTCCATAGTCTCCTGAAAGTTATCCTTGTCTTGTTGCCCAGGAATGGGGATGTAGCCATTAGATAAAAATCTGTAATTGTTAAATCCTTCAAGCAGCAAGTCAGCTGTATTGGGGGGAAGGGGAAGAGACAGAAAAATAAGCTAAAGAAATGCTCTTCACACCCAACAGAGTACTCTGTTCTCACTAAATGCGCAAACTACGCTTTACAAAATCAGTTCCTCAAATACAGCTACAAGCCATTATTAACAGCTTCTGAAACTCTAAAAATATGAGTATACCTTAGAAACTGAAGCCAGATTCCCAGAACCTCCATCTCTAGCAACCTACATTAGTTCTTTAACACATTAAGCCTGCAAACAGAACATTACCCAACTCAGATCTAGCATAATCTCAAATCCCTATTTGGAATATCCTAAAAGCAGTATCTCTATTGAAAGGTAACAGACACAGGCAGAAATGGGGTTAGATATTGATGATTACCACATCAAGGATGCTAAACACATCAGTTCTCTGAAGTCTGCACCTTTATACAGTTTCACTTATCACAACCTAACAGAAATTCCCAGTTCCCAAGAGGGGAAAAGAATAAAAAAGCAGAGCAGAAGATAACCAACATAGTACTGCAGTGGCTGAAGAAGGCTGCAGGGTTTCATTACGTTTCTGTAAAATGGCTGCTTTTCTACCCCATTTGAAGTCATGGTCCAGAACAGATACGGCTGTCACTGCTGACCAGGTTTGTTATTTATCAGCTGGGAGCACTGCAGTTTCAATCCAGTGATTCCCAGCTAGAGGCTGCCCAAACTGGTCTTCGTCATGTAAGAGCCACTGGCTTGAAACGCTACAGTTGCTTGACAGCATACTTGATAAAACACAGAAGTTATTTCAAAACAAAACCACCTGGCTTTCATTCTTCCTTTAAAATTCACTGTTTCAAGACCAAAGAATACTTCAAACACAACTGTGTTAACACTGAAATAACAAACGCGGCAGGCAGAAGCCAGAGGTTTACAAAACAAGATCCTCAAACTTACACTTCAGGTGTTCTCCTGCTCCAGCTAGTAGTTGATAGAAGATATGGAACGTCCGCTCATCCTTAGCCTGACGAACAGCGCGAGACTTTTCCAACAAGTCTGATTATAACTAGTCAAGGATCTTTACAGTTTTTGGTTAAAAACATCCAAAGCAAACAAAACTTGCAGGCTATATAATTACTTTAAGATCAAACAGAACTTTAATAGTAATGACGGGACTATGTCTAATATGACCTTTCAGTAATTTTAAATGAGATCTCAAATTCAGACTGGTAGAAGCCCACATTTCATTTCAGCAAGCTCATTTCTTGGATGTCAACTGCACTTCCCTGCTACACGCAGCTGACAAGTGCCTGTAATGGACCAGCTGAAGTCGAAGTGAGAGGGGGAGTTGGCCGTTCTTTTTCAATCACTTCTTCTATTGTGGTCAGAGCAGATCTCTTCATACCAAAAACCCAGCAGCTGCCGAACTCAAAAGTACTTTATCTGAACTGCATTTGTAATTTCTTTCAAGCACTAAGTTTTTACATACAAACTGTACTGTCTTTAAACAGTTCCCAAATCCAATTTGAGTAGCACACAGCATCTAATACACTGCCATAAGCTGTAATGTTATTTAAGTTTTTATTTCTTGATATTCCACATTGTAAAACAACGTGGGACAGGGATTTGAAATAACACAGGTTACGAGCAAGAATGAGTTCTTATGATGAAGAAAGCACACCCTAAGAGTTAAGTCCTCCTGTTTTGACAAAGCTCTAAGCAAAACAATTCATCTGAACTTTCATAAAGGCAAAAACTGTCCTCGTTCCCGTGCTGAATGAAAAAATCATTTATCATTAAAGCATATTTTGCATAACTATAGAACTTTCCCAGCCTTATTGGGAAATTAGATTTTATGATAGTTCCAAACATTCAATGAAT